CAGTCTCTGGTCACCTACAACTTTAGCCTAAGCCAAAGAGTTGAAAAAGACCATCCCATTTCTACATTTCTCCTGTATTTCAACAGTTTTGCTTTTAAAATATGTATTTTTTGCAGCCACAATCAGGAGATGCCTTCTGGTATCATACCTTGACCAGTAATTTTAATTTTGAATTGATCTAAAGTTTTCTTATTCATCCAATCTTTCCTCATATTTCCTTCTTTTTATGAATAAGCTTCCACTATTTCTGCCTAAACTTGTTCAAGTTCTAAACATGAGTGTCTTCATAGTAGAAAATATGGCTTTGTGGTTGTTGTCTGAACAGTCAAGTGTTTGCTCATTCAAGAAACTTCATTAACACTAGTTATTAGGGGCCTATCTGGTATTGATACTGACAAGCTTCCATCACCAAGTTGGACTTGGGTGGTTCAGTCCTGTTCTCATGGCCAATGAGAAGTTAGAGGAGGAGGTGCTCCAATTGTTCTGTCCAATAGAATTAAGAGGAAGGGAACCAGTGGGCACAGGAAGAGAGCTGGACCTCTCCCTGGAATACTGCAAAGGCTAACAGCCAATAGGCACTTAGTCCCAGTGTGCCTTCCCTGAGCCAGTTCCACTGTTGAGAGCTATGCCAACCCCCCTAAAAGACCTAAAGGCTGACAAAACATCTGACTTTTGGGTAGAATCCTATCATTAACTGTATAAACAACCCAGTATGTTGATCTCATGTTGATTTGTATCTGATTGATAAGGGGAAAAAAAGAGAAGAGTAATAATAAACTTAGCCTAGAAGGTAAAATATATGAAAACAAGTGTCTCTGTAAGAACAAACAGAAATCTTTGGTGTTAAAAGGTTGGAGGCAGCCGGATGCAGTGGCTCATGCCTGTAAGTCCAGCACTTTGGGAAGCTGAGGCAGGAGGATAGCTTGAGGCCAAGAATTTGAGACCAGCCTGGACAACATAGTGAGACTTTTTTTTTGAGATGGACTCTTCCTCTATTGCCAGGCTGGAGTGTACAGTGGCATGATCTTGGCTCACTGCAACCTCCACCTTCCAGATTCAAGCGATTCTCCTGCCCCAGGCTCCCAAGTAGCTGGAACTATAGGCACACACCACGAGGCCCTGCTAATTTTTGTGTTTTTAGTAGACACAGGGTTTCATCATGTTGGCCAGGATGATCTCGATCTCTTGACCTTGTGATCTATCCACCTCGGCCTCCCAAAGTGCTGGGATTATAGGCGTGAGCCACCGTACCCGGCAGACTTTTGTTTCTTCAGTTATTACACCTCTTCCTAACAACAAAAGGTTTAGAATAGCTGTAATACTTACCTGGGATATTTCTATTATGTATGAATTAGTATCCATACTTTTTTAACTTTTCTACCCAAATCAAACGGATTAAAAAAAAACTTTTATACCCAAATATCTACATTTTTATTCCAGGCACTTAGCTGACCCACCCAAAGGTCATTTACTGACATAATAAAGAGGCAGGATTTGAATTGAGACAGATCTGGCTCTTAAATACTAGTCTATTTCACTGTACTATGCTACCCACCACAACTAGGATGGGAAAAGACATTTACGATTGTGAAAAGCCTGGAATGCATGAACTGATCAATTTAAGAGGGTTAGATGCATACACCTCCTACACAGTGTTACAAAAGTTTCAAATATTTAGGAGGAACTGGGCATTTAGAGACACTAGAATTAGCTTTCAAACCAAGCCAACAACACATCATTTAACATATAAGTGCTCAAAATCAAATTGCACTTCTGCCCTCAAGAAACCCTACTTGATAGCTTGAGTGTTTCTTATCATCTTTATTAGCTGGGGTTATGAAAGTTAAATGGGTGATATTTCTAAAACTCTTTTCTCTAAAACTTTCCCATGGGGAGTTGTGGGGAGGCTGCATGATTTGGCTGGGTTTTGTTCATCACAAATTAGGTCAACAGCCCAATCCCAACAGAAAGCACCATTAATGAAATGACATGTTTCAAGGGCTTATCAAACTCAGTCCATCGGGTTTTGGCAAGCTCCCACAAGGGTGGAGAGGGCTAAGGAGCAGTCAGCTACACTTCCCTAATGGCCTTCTGAACTTGGGTCCTGTATCTGACAAGGTTTCCAACTGCCCATATGAACAAAACAGATTTTGCTCTTACTACTGTTATGCAATTAAAGAGCCAAATGCTGAAATAAAAAAAAATTTTTTTTAAGAGGGGGTTTCACCATGTTGGTCAGGCTGGTCTTGAACTCCCAACTTTAAGTGATTCGCCCACGTTGGCCTCCAAAGTGCTTGGATTACAGGCGTGAGCCACCACGCCCGGCCATAAAAATCTTAATTAACAATGAAGATTTACAGGAACAAAACAGTATCTTCATTGATGATACAGCCACAGAAAGATTGAGGATGAGAGAAAAAAAATCAACATGAGGAAACAGAAATGTTGATTACCTTTGTTCTAAAAATAATCAAGTAGCTTGATTATTTTTAGCCAAAATGCAATACAGCAATGAAAGAATCAATACTTTGTGAAATGTTTTAACACTAATGTTCAATCTTTTAATGTTACCCTTTTAAGGTTACTTCAGCAGCCAGACGTGGTGGCTCACACCAGTAATCCCAGCACTTTGGGAAGCCAAGGCAGGTAGATCATGTGAGATCAGGAGTTCAAGACCAGCCTGGACAACATGGAAAAACCCTGTCTCTAATAAAAAT